TAAACAGTTTTCTCTCTGTATATTAAACCAACTCACCCCAGCCTTGTAGGAAGTAATTCATCGACACTGTTTAAGTTACTGGTGCTCAAATATGTACAGGGCCTGCCAAAAAAGGGAAGTGTTTGCACCAATTAACTGAAACTGAATAATTCCTTCACAACTCAGTGTTTCAGTCATGTCTATCTAGAAATCATAAAAACGAAATGCGGAAGGAAGTACCAAGGATTTAAGAGTGTTTGTGTGTATGATTTATGACTCTGTCAACACTTGGTTTACATTGAAATTTCCATGCAGATACTACCAGAACTGAACAAGGTAGGTGACTATAAATGCTTTTCTAGATTCAAAAATAACGCTTTTCCAATATTATTTACTATGCCAAACAAACATATGATAAGTAATGCTTTGTTTTGACTGTCTAATTTTTTTTTGTACACAGTAGTTATTTTTAACAGAATAATAAAAGGAATGTATCCGGGATGGTTGTACACTAAATACTAGCTAGTTGTTCAATATGACTTAAATCAATCTAAAAATTATCTGATTTTTTAAAGAAATTTTGCACTTTTCAACTTTTTAATGCATGAAACCAATGTTACTTGTATAAAATGTCATTTACTTTCCTGATGTATGTATTGTTTCAGTATGTCTTTGCTTACATCTTGAACTCTCCTATTCAAACTGTATCACTGACATCTTTAAAAATTTATTTAGATGATAACCCCTTAAGACTAGAGGGCCATTGAACCCTTCATTCGTATTTCTTTTAAAAATATGGGAAACCTCTTTTCTAGTATTTTAATTTTCTCTTTTTTTAAGGCAACAAATCACATTAGGTTTTGTTTTTCTTGTTTTTTTTTAATTTTGCAGTAATATCATTTTAACCCCAATGACATTTTCACGGGATACCCAATATTTTTTTACCAGTAACATTCTGGATTTGTTGTTCTTGACATGTTTATGTTCTTATGCATTTTGTATCGCCCTTCTTCATTTTCTTTTTTTTGAAAACCAAATGTAACAGACTTCAATTTTTTGTGTTACATTCTTCTTCTTCTTCTTCTCTTTTTTTTTGTCTTTTACTGGGTAGTATCTCTCTCTTTTCTGGATTTTTGGCAAAACCGTTGTTTTTGAATTCTCTTTTTTTTCCCCCTTTATTTTGCTCTTCAAAATGATCCCAGGAGCCAACACAAAGAAAATCGCAGATGATATAACCAGTAATGATCGTGGTGACGATGAAGGTATTTTTTGCTTTTTCAAAGCTCGACCTTGATGCATGATTTTATTCCTACCTATCTCTGTCTCTTTTTTTTTCATTTCAACCTTTTTTTCCCCCTCCCCTTATTTAAAAGTAGTGCACACTAGTGTGCTTCTTTATTGATTTCCTTCTTTGGAAAGTACTGACATTTTTATTCCAGTTACCATGTAGACTGTTGGAAATCATTTGACAGTTAAAGTAAACATTGTTTCTCATCCTAAATGAGTGAAAAAATGCTCTTTACAGAGATGCCCACCTTTTTCATTTATTTGGTTTTTTAAATTATTTTTTGGCTTGGTCACAAGACGAGAAAATGAAATTTGACAACATGCATGTGTACTACCTTTTCTTTCTTCCTTGTTTTCTGAATATTGTGTTTTAGAACTTTGATGTTCTTTCATTCTTTCTAAACACTGCAAAACTTTTGGACAACTCCATGAAAAGATGTTTATGGTAGGGGTGTTCAGTGGGTCAGGGAGAAAATTATTGCTTTTTTCTGCTTTAATTTTCTGTACAGATAATTTGATGCTTAAATAGGTTTCAGAACATCTGCTCTCAGTAAAGCACATTGACCAGTATTTTAAATAAGATTTTTTTTCCCTTTTTGGACTATGTTTTAGTAGCATCTAAAAAAAATAAAATAAAATTTAAAAAATACAGGTATTGTAAGAATTAAAGACAGCCCAAAATGTTACCTTTATGTATTGCTCTGTTTTGACCACGGCTGTCTTGAAAATATTTTCTCTTGCCAATATTTTTTTTTCTTTTGCCATGAAACATTGGTTTCTAAGTTTCTCAAATTGCTGGATAGGTTATTCACTACAAGTGAAATGATTTTCCTTTAAAAGATGGATTTTTTGTAGAGTCCATTCTGTCATCGTATTCTGTCCCTTCCAGAGAATAAATGGTTTTACACAAAAATGTGGAAATACTGAAATGAGAGTTTACCTTTTGGAATGGCTTTCCAAATGCATATACCCCCACCCACCCACACACACACACACACACACACAGCCTGTTTCTTTTCTCAGTCTGGGTAGCATAATGCCTGGAAGTTCATTTCTTTACCTTGTAGGATAAAACCCCTGAAGGACCCATGGGTCTTTCAATGAACAAGAATTTGAGGCTGGCCCCGTTTGAAGGTCCTGAGAACATCTTTTTATAAATTACCTGTTTTGGTGCATTCCTTGGTTCCTCTCGTAGATCAGCTGCTCTCCCCAAAAGAAGTAGATTTTGCCTTTATTGTAGCCATGCTGCTGTTTTAAAGTGAGCCTCATTATTTTTTCTGATCTCTACATTCCTAGGGGGCATCCGTGCCACAAATGACTACCTAAAGTATCCCAGACGGCACCAGATTATCAACATCAACATCTGCCTAACCACGTGGCGTTTGTCTTGATCAGAACTTCAGAAAACCTAGCATCTGTTCCCTGTCCAAAGAAATAGCTAAATAAAAAATGACACACACTCCCCCACAATGAACAATACACTCCAGTTTCTTTATTTAATATGTTTCCTTTTGATGACAAAGGTCTGTTTTCATAATCTTGCAAAGCCACCTTCTGGCCTTTAAAACATCAGCTAATTTGTACTCAGTGATGGTCAGCTGTCATTGTTTTTTAGCTTTGAATGAAGAAGCCATCTGTTTATTACTTCTTCCAGTTCTAGAGAAAATTGTCTGTGATTCATCAGAGGTGTGCATTATCACCCTCACTTATTTTCCAAGCGAACATCTTCAAGTGACAGAGAACCTCTCATTCTGCTTTGCACAATGAAGTAGTCCACACCTGGCAAAGACAAAGCTTACAAAAGCACAAAACCAGAGCCAGAAAGAGGAGATTATGCCGTGTCATTCCTTATTTAGATAGCTATCCCCCAAACACACACACACACACACACACACACACACACACACACAAGCATTTGTACTATCTGAGCAATACATGACTAATAAAAAGGATCTTAGCTTACATTTTAGTTTCCTATGAGAAAAACGTTTTAAATATTTTTCTCTTCTGCACTAAATTTCAGCAACTGCTTGAGAAACTAGAAGCTTATCTCTGTACATTACTGTCATTCATGGGTTTTCTGAAGTGCTTTTACATATCCAAAGAAATGGTCATGGTCCTTTGATATGATTACACTCACCACTCAATATGTTGGCCTTTCATTTCCTCAAAATTCCTTTCTGAGAAGAAATGGTGTTCAACATTTAATCTAATTATGTCCGAGCGCCCATTACAATGACCTCATTTTTTCGAAACTATATTGTGAAACTTCCTGGCGAAACCTGTGATTTAGAAAACGAGCAAACAAACAAAAAAGATAGTTGGAGAGAAAATAGTAAATGCACAGATATACGGGGTTTCTTCTAATAATATAGTTATTTCAGTTTCCTACACTCGTGCCCAGACATCAGTGTTTATAACTGTGGTCAGTCTCTCTAAAAAATTAAATGTGAGCCATAGGACTGATTCACGCTAAACAGGTTAAATGATCCTAACTTTTTAGAAAAAGACTCTGCAGATGGTCTTGGGTTTTCTACCCTCATTGACCGTTGTGAAATATTGCTTTTCTCTGTTCATTTATTAAACTAATGAAGTGATTATGAGGAATACTCATTAGTTTCAAATGCTATGGGGAGTTTATGTTCCTTGTGAAAATATAAAATGATAACAGGATTGCATGTTGATTCAGGTCTCTTGCCGTTTTTCATGACGGTTCTGTTATTTTTATCACTTAAATATGTTGAGACAGCTCTTGAGCCAATAAAATACCACAAAGACATTTTTTGGAGCTTTAAAAAATATATTTCTCATCAGTGGATAATTTTCAACATTAAACATAATTAGTCATCTGTTCTATATTGAGTCTACAATTTCACTGCAACTTTTATATTCTGACTCCACAATTTTTGACAAGATGCCAGCAGTATTCAAGTTAGTTTTGATTTTGAAGGTGATTTTTACACTTAACTTCTTAATTACAGGAGGAAAAGATATCTTGCTAAGGATATCATGCACTTCTTCAATTTAAACCATATTTCAGGGTTTGAGCAAAATTTGGGAAATATTTATTCTATGTTAAGCCCCTTTTTAAAGTTTTATATGCACATATAAATATAAACAGAAAGAAAGGGAGATGTCTTATAGGAGAATATTAACCCACATACCTGTTTGCTTCTCAGAGTATAACTTGCTGACTAGAAAATATAACAGCACTGGGTATTATCTTTACACTATGTTACAGAAACATATTCTTCACAAAAATAAAGAGGTCAGCTGGATGTAGTGACACATATAAGTATAGGGATCCTATTTGGACTATCTAGGGCAAATTATTGGGCATGCCAAATTCCTTTTTGTGTATCCTATTCTGAGACTCTAGGTTCAGGTGAATAGCAAAACCTAGAAAGAGCTGGAGAAGGTGATCCATACCTGTAATTCCAACTCTGTGGCAGGCTGAAGCAGGAACACTAGGTGTTCACTGGTACCTGAGACAGCTTAGCAACAAAATAAGTCCATGTTTCAAACTGAAAAAAGAAAAAAAAAAAAAAAAAAAAAAGGGCTGGGGGTGTTGTCCAGTGCAAAGCCCCTGTTTTCAATTCCCAGTACCACGAAATAAAGAAATAGAATTTAATCAGGAGAAAGCTAGGAAAATGGATGAGGCTCCTTTGCTCCCGTGTGAGCATGTGTCATGCGTGCAGTTCTTTATTGTGTATCCTTCCTTGGCTTTTTTCCAGACATCCACGATCAAAATGGTAAAAAGCCAGTGATGGTCTATATCCATGGTGGATCGTACATGGAGGGCACCGGAAACATGATCGACGGAAGCATCTTAGCAAGCTACGGGAATGTCATCGTTATCACCATTAACTACCGCCTGGGAATATTGGGTAAGTGGCTTGGTCTTCGAAAGAACCGAGCAAAATGCATTATGAAAATTCTTTTCGTCTCAGTACCGGCCCTGTTGGCTTCCATAGCTCTGTTCTGATAGCTCTTTGCGGATGAGATTGGGTAGCTTCCTTCCCTCCGGTACTGTGGTTGGAACCTTCCATTGTTCTTTTGAAGTTGAAGTTTGTAGTCCTGTCGTTTTCCTTTTGTTGAGCCTCAACCCCTGCTCAAGCCAAACGAGCCACCAGAGACATCTACAAAGTCCAACGCTTCAGTCAAGGGAAGTTTCCTCTTTGGAAGTAAGTCTAAACTTGTTGGTAGACATAGCCTTGTATCATGAACGCAGATTTGGTAATACAGCAGTGAATAACAGCTATTGATAGTGGTTTTCTTTTCGTGTTGTGCAGTAGTACTGATCATTTCATGTGCAGAGAAGCACTTTATCCAGTTTTCTATCTACTTGTATGTGTATATGCTGGACTTCGAATATCTTTGGCGTGATTCTATGATTGCAGTTGTATGCGATGACGCTTACCTCTTAATTGAATTCGCTTCCACATTACCACATGGGTAAAGGATACGAAGTCAAAAAAATCCATTACTCAGGCATTTCGTTAATTTTCTTGTATCATTAGTTTGGAAATTTGCATATTTATCAAGAGAAGAGTTTCAGATTTGCCATTCTACCAAACTCCGCCCCCTCTTGCCTACCACCAGAAAGATACTCATGGAGGTATGCAGAAAGCGTTTGTTCACAAACCAGAAAAATACTTTGAAATGGTCCAGAATGTACGTTATTAAGCAACGTTGCTAAGAAGGGAAGATACGCACGTGGCAGGGTGGCGATGGTGTATTTTAAAATACGAGGTGGAGTGAACGGAGGCTGTGTAGGCAAGCAGGAAGTGTGGCTGGAATTTTTTTTCCCATGTAAGTAATTATTATCAACCGTATTTTGTTTACATTTGGCTGATTTAATTTCCTGTAGAGTGGCTTTTTTCATTTCTATGTGAAGCCTAACGAACCCATCAGAGGCCCCAACTGGTGGGAAAGGGAATACTTCCTGCTGGACTAGAAATCTAGCTGGAAAATGTAAAATATGTGTTCCTTAAAACAAAATGCTGCCTTTTGAAAAGTTGGTAAAGCGCTCAGCATCTCACTTTGGTTTTCCTATTGAAGGACAAAGACAAATTTAAGAAAGTACTGGGTGTCGAGAGTCTCACTATTTCATGTTTTATTTCTTCTCCGTGTTTCATGTTTCAGAAGTTTCTAGAAGCCCTGTCTTGATGGAGCAATTCCATCTAACTTTTGAATATTAGTATTTGGGCTGGGGATATAGCTCAGTGGCATAAGTGTTTGCTTCACAAGTGTAACGTCCTGAGTTCGATTCCCGGTAATGAAAAAAAAAAAAACAAAAAAAAAAACAAAAACAAATATCGTTCTGAGTATTTTGATGGACTTCTGGCTAGCTGTTTTGGCTACTTGTGTTTGAAGCAGAGATTTGCGTTTCTTGATATTTTACAAAAGGCTCATTCTCACAAAGAGTTGGAGAGGAAACGATGTGTGAGGTCACTGCATACACTCTTTTTGAAGAGTCCCGTTGTCCGAACTTCAGACGCACGTTGGCAAACAGTACATTCACTGTTTCATAGCGTAATGGCCACTCAACAGAGACTGGCTTGGGTAAAAACAAACAAACAAACAAAAAATCACAGAATGTCCTGGAGTATGAACGATGGAAATAAGTTATTATAGGGTTAGCTTTCAAAGAACTTGATTTCTTGTACTCTCTAATGCCAAATTCCATTGAACCTCTCAATGCTGATATTCCTTAATTGATTTTGCCCTTTCTTGAATCAGAGGCAGCTGGGACAAAGTAGCCTGTGACCGATAAGCTTATTTTTTAAGAGGAAAATGACACCAACAAAATGGTGAAAAATAGGAAGGATACCTTTGGCGACTAGGCGTTTGAAAGAGGAAGGGTGACAGCAGAGCTGTGACAGTAATAGCAAGGGTGTAAAAGGAGCGATTGAGCCTGTCTATGCCAGGCTATTTACGTGCTACAAATGAGCTATGGTGAAAAGCTGAGCACACCACAGACCTACTTTTATTGGATGGGGTGCAACGTGCCAGCTCTGCAGATGATTTGCTGGGGGAGATAGAGACCTTCAAATCTGACTTGCTTTATCTTCATCATGAATTCTGCCTTTTCAGTTGTCTTTTGAGAAAGCAGTTGGGCAGCATTTGCTTTTTGGATACAGGAAACTACTATGATGAATCCTGAGAAAATATTTGCAAACCTTTGGCATCCTAATGTTTAAGGCAATGTTCAACTAAAACAGCATCGGCTGGGAGTGTAGCTCAGGGGTCCTATGACTGCTGAGCATAAAAATCTATCAATCCGTAAATAAAATAGGACACAGTGCCCTGGTATGATCACTTGAGTGGGTGATTTTTTTTTTTTTTAAATTTTAGATCTGAAAACTACAATATGCAATATAAGAACCATGATTGAAATCCTACTGTTTTGTATGGTGAAGTTCTGAATCATTTCTAATGATTTTTTTTAGTTACTTGTTACTATCTTTGATTGTTTGATCAATCTTACATTCTTACGTTTGGTGGACTGAGCAACTTCTTTTAAGATAACCGTATGTAATGTGCAGCCATTGTTAATTCCTGTCATTTTGTTTTGAGATCATGTATCATTTTGTTGTTTTTGTATGGTTTTCATTTTGTCTTCATTGTTGTTTTGTTAGTTATTTTAATATTTAAAAAATAATAAAATAACAGCAACATAGAAAAAAATCAGAGGGTGACTTTAATAGCAATTGATATATTACTACTCAAACATCAGCATTTTCTTTAAATCATTTTCTTGCAATGAGCATGAGTGTTGTCTTCCTACTCAAGGAAAGGAAAATGCTGTTTAAAATTATCATCAACATTTTACAGACGGATAACCCAAATTTTCTTATGAAGAAGAGAGAGCTAAAAATGACAACAGTAGGCTAGAAGTGGAAGGGATGCAGATTTTAGGATCAAACAGACATTAGCTAGAATCTTCTCTTACCTGTGTCTTTGTCACATAAAATTCAGAAAATCAGCTAACTTCTTGATGCCCTCTCTTTAGATCCAGAAAGGGACAGATTTATTTACCTTTTCAAGTTATGGTATGGTGTAGACTTTCATGGGCCCAAGAAATCACACTAAACCCCATAAATAAGTACTACATTCATTTACTTATCAATAAAAAAAAATTCCAAGCATGTTTGGAAAAGTTCAGGGCATTCATCTCAGCAAACCCTTTTTACATGTTCCCCCCCCCCCTTTTTTTTTCTTTTATTTTATGAGAAAATATAAAACAAGAACTCATAACAAAATCTTGGGAGAATATCAATAATTAATAAATTACATGCTGTTATCTTAAAGTAGTTGCTCTGAGTATAAAAAAGGGGAATAAACATTTTTCTAATTGATGCTAGCACAAACCTTTCTTTTAAATGAGCAACCTGAATACCCATCAATGGAGGAATAGGTAAAGAAAAGGTGGTATTTTTATACAATGGAGTACTCAGGCATAAAGAAGGAAAATGGAAATATGCAAATGAGTTATACTATTAGTATCTCTTATTCAGGGACATTTTTATAGCCCATGAGAAATACCCATTCACCTTCTAAATTTCTAATTATTCTTATTGTTGAACATCATATTAGCACTGCTGCTGACACACCTTTGCTATTGCAAGTGCTCCCGCTTCCCATAGGCGAAATCTATCACGGATCATCATCCAAACTGAACCATGTTAATTACAAAAAATAACCAAGAGGTTTTTTTTTTCCACATTCAAGAAAACAGAAGGTCATGATAACTGGTGGTCTCTCTCTTTTTTTTTTTTTTTGGTACTGGGATTCGAACTCAGGGCCTTGCACTTGCCAAGTAGACACTTTATAATTGGCGTTGTACTATGAAGGGTGGCCTTCCGTAACCACTGTCCGATACCATCTTGCTACCCACTAACTACATTCTTTATGCAATCCATTACACATATGAGTGTTTCCAATATGCTAAGAAAAAACTGGGAATAAATCATCATAACTAATTACTTAAGTTCCTAGGAGTGACTGAACTTATTTATATTTAAGATGCTGATTCTCTTATGTACATTCTTTTTTTTTTTTGTTTGTTTTTTTTTTTT